CGAAGAGTCTGAGCTCTGGCCGCGGCTCTGTTATTAAATGGAGAAATCCTGCAAAGTCTCTCCTTTCCCTCGTTTTAATATACCACTATTTAGGAGGTCTCACTCTCAAGGTTGGGAGCCAGTCCGGTTATTATCATTCAAGTGTACAGTATGAAATACCTCTCTCTTCTCTTTTCATGTCAGTACAGTCCCAGGGTTTCAACCTGCCACAGTAGCTCAGTTCCAGCTCACTCACATTGCTGATCCTGGACGGAAGGTCCTCTGTACTGACTCCAGTTTCCGCACCACGCCCGCCATGAGCGGCGCCCAAAGCTGGCAGCAGTACTCAGAATTTGGGGAGCGCGAGGGTTCTGAAGATTGTAATCATTGGTGCTGCTTCTCAAGTTCGAAATGTCTACCAGAACCATCCTATCCGTTGTCTACCTTTCGCAACTATTTTCTGGATGTGGTCATCGAACGTGGCATTGGTATTCATCAACAATTCGAGATCTCAAACAAGGCATTCCGGTCTCTCTGCTGACTCTGTATCATCATTACTTCGAACTTGGTGTCGTTGAATTGCATATTATTCACTAGGACCTAATCGTAGATTGTCGATGAGTCATCCTGTAACTCTCGCAGTCTAGGACATCTGAGATCTTCATCAGTACTCATGTATCGATTATCGTCCGCAAATGAAGATTTAGATGCGTGTATAAGGTCCGAGTCAATGTCGGCGATGAGGACGAAGAAAAGGATCGGTCCAAGCACTGAGGCTTGAGGCACTCCGCTTTTCCCATTCGCTTCTCTCGATTTCGAGTTTCCAATTGCAACAGCTTGTACCTCATCTGTAAGGAAGTGGTGAATCCATTCTAATAGGCTTCCTCCTACATTTCGCCGGAAACCATGTTGTCCATTATTATACAATTCAGCCTCTTCCATATACTGGACAAGCCTCCTGGTCACCACCTTCTCAAAGACCTTGATCACCTGTGAGATCAAGATCAACGGCCTGCAATTTTGAGGTCTGTCCCTCGAGCCTCCTTTAAGGATTGGAGGTATCAGTCCCACTTTGAGGCCCTCAGGGATAATACCCTCCGTGATCGAGGTATTTTAGAGCCAAATTGCCTTCCGTGCGCTAACCCACTTCTTCAAAAAGCACTGCCGCAATTACGTTGGGTTCTGATGCTGAAAACGTCGCCAGTTCGTTGATACTTATTTCCATATCTTCTGGGCCAAACTCAATGTTTACCAACTCCCTTTCGCCTGGCAGTTCCTGGAGAACTTCGATTTCATTCTCTTGTCTTGAGTAGCTGGTTTTATTAAAGACTGATTCAAATTTCGACCCCAGTAGCTGGGTCGCCTGCCGAAGACCACCACTGCCCTGGATGTAATTGACTATTATGATTCCTGCCTTCCGGAACGTAGCCTTCAACACTTCAAGCCGTCCGTATCTAAGCCGTGGGTCGAACCAGCCCTCGGTCGAATGGCCACTCATCGAAGGACGATAAATTTTGGAACAGAACTTAGCTATCTGAAACCTAACCTTAGATACGATGAACGTAAAATTACATAATTTAACGATGCCCGGAAGTCATATTCGATCCGCGGCCTGGTGGTGCACGGCAGGTTTTATGCCAGGCCAGAGGTGGACAAAGCCGAGTGGTTCACGGCTGATTGGTGGATGTCCGGAGAGATCCAAGGCGTTCGAAACAGGGCTTGTTGGTGCACAAAATTGGTGGTGCACGGCTGCGCTCCCCAGTAGCTCACACATGCCCTGTCGTCTCCGACATGAGCATCGTTATCCTTCAGCGGGCCCACTGCATGGTGTCTTTATTATAGCCTTGGACTGAGCGTATTTAAAAGATTTACTTTGGATTCTCTCTGATGACCTCAATAACTCGTTCCTCAGCAGCTAGTTCTTAACGTACTGAGCGAGTCCAGCAACATGCGTTCGTTTCCTTGTAGAGCTTTACTAATTTCTGTATCCTCTCATCACTAGTGCATTTAGCTATTTTTTTATTTAATTGTGTGCGTTTTCTCATGATGATTCGCCGATCTCCTGGAATGCTGTGGAATTTAGGGCCCATTTTTCATGAGGTATGACGCACACACACCTGTGCTAGCTTTTCACATAGATTTGTGTAAATTTCTTCTGCATTTTTACCAAGAAACTCTCCAATAAATGTCCTCAAGTTCAACCTCAAATTGCCTCTCAATCCGTTCTTCAATGGTGGAAGTTCAGTCTTGCCAGTCCCTCTTGGGGTATAGGCCTGGGCTGGGTCTCAAATAAATTTTCGTAACCCAACATCACCAGGCGGTGGCCTGACAGTGAGGTTTCTTCAACCCAAACATCAACCACTATTCTTTCATTATTAGTAAAATAAAATCGAGGATATTTTGTTCCCTTGTCGGCAACCGTACTTGCTGACTGAACAAGTGTTCCGCAGAAAACTTTACTAGTTTGGCTTTTTGACTTCTGTCGCACTGGACACTTGAGACCTTTCTTCTTATGTGGGTGATGATTAATTTGATTTTTTTAAATAATTTCCGCCTTGCTCGCTATGCTAACTTACTATATACACAGCACATTACAGTGCAGGCACAGCGCAGGCACAGCGCAGGCACAGCGCAGGCACCTGCTACGCTATCACCTGCTGTGCGGTGCACAGGAAGCGTCGGTGCGCTGCCCTTGCCTCCTTATCTGGTGCACTGACAGGCGTGTGAACCTCCTACACGCTCCACACGCACCTACACGCACATACGCTCCTACACGCACATACGCTCCTACACGCACATACGCTCCTACACGCACCTACACGCACCACACGCACATACACATACAGCATACGCACCACACGCACCTACACGCACATACGCACTATAGACGCACAAACATGTACAACATACACCTACACGCACCACACGCACCTACACGCACTACACGCACCTACACATACAGCATACGCTCCACACGCACTACACGCACCTACACGCACATACGCTCTGCGCACCTACACGCACCATACGCACCTACACGCATCACACGCACCTACACCTGTCTCTTATACACATCTAGATGTGTATAAGAGACAGGNACATTACACAGCACATGCAACAATGCGCTACATCACACAGCACATGTAACATCACACAACATTACACAGCACATGCAACAATGCGCTACATCACACAGCACATGTAACATCACACAACATTACACAGCACATGCAACAATGCGCTACATCACACAGCACATGTAACATCACACAACATTACATAGCACATGCATCAATGCGCAACATCACACAGCACTTGTAACACAACACAACACAACACAACACAACACAACACAAAGCAACACTCGCCACTGGCGCTTCATAAATCAGAGAAAAAGTGCAATTAGTCGCGCAACCAGCGGTGGCCTGCGACTTATGGCAACACTGCCGCAGTGGTAGTCAAGTAGCAGCAGGTAGTCAAGTAGCAGCAGGTAGTCAAGTAGCAGTAGGTAGTCAAGTAGCAGCAGGTAGTCAAGTAGCAGCAGGTAGTCAAGTAGCAGCAGGTAGTCTAGTAGCAGCAGGTAGTCAAGTAGCAGTAGAGTAGTGGTGACACCATTCATGCATTGATTCATTCATATTCTAATTACCAATTAATTACCATTCACGAATTTACTCATTCATATTCTAATTACTAATTAGTAACCATTCATGTATCGATTCATTCATATTCTAATTACTAATTAATTAACATTCATGCATTGATTCATTCATATTCTAATTACTAATTAATTAACATTCATGCATTGATTCATTCATATTCTAATTATTTTATGCCTCAACGGACCAGTATGAATGAGAGCGTACGTTTTGTTTACTATTTGTGATGCCGCTAAATGAAAACTCGGAATCGAGTTGAAACGCCGAAATCATAGTAAATTAAGAACTAAGAAAACCCGAACGTAAGTTGGATGATGTATTAAGACTAATTTATTTGGCAACCAGACAATTTAGATCGTTTTACGATGCTCATTAATGAAATTTTCCCATCGTAAAGACCAGAAGTAGTTTGATCCCAATTGACGGTGATCGACAGCCAAATGGAGATTACTGTTTGATTAGCAGCAATTACCGTTTGATTATCCATGATCCTACAATTCTAGCAATAGTTACGACTGTATGATACGAAATAGCATCCTATAAATAGTAACGACGATAGGAGAGGAATAGCTCCCTATAAATAGTAAAGACTATAAGATAGGAAAGAGCTTCCTCTAAATTGTCACGTCAATCCAAGCTCCTAACTACCTAACTTCTATTCCTAAAAGTTGCTGCTGTGCCTGTACGTTTGTCTCCAGTTGTGGTGCGAGGTTTGCGATTGGTGCGAGCGCTTTAAGCCACCATGCACGGGGATTCGTTTGAAGATTTACAACACCGGAACTACGAAAGTCTCTGAATGAAACGTTGCGTGCAAGTGCTGCTTCCTAATGCTGGATTACCATTTCAGTTCATCTCGAGATGGGGTCTAGTTGGATATAGGCAAGATTAATTCAAACGTTTTTCGGCGATTGGTCAGCAGATTTAGATAATCGCAATTATTTACAGCGGAATCCTACGGCTGGTCGGCAAGCCATGAAGGAGCATCACTAGGGATCCTTTGCCAGAGGCTATGTGTAGCTCGAGCATCCTGCCGAGAGACTGAGTCCTTCGAGGACTCTGTCACAAGTTGCCACCTACCATTTCTGTACCTGCACGTGTATTTAACACCTTTACTTTCATGTCTTAACTTATTTTGAGTAAGAAACTATTATTTAGTACGTAGCTTTCCATGTGTGTGTAGTTCATTGGTTGTTTAGTCACTTGGAAGCGGTTGGTAAAGTGTGGGAAATTAGCGCACGTTGGCAAGGTACGACGAGTGTGGGAGAGCGAGAGCTCCAGCCAGCCAATAGGGGAGCTCCATTTCAGGTGAGGACCGAAACCTCCGTTGCTGCTGAACTGAAGCTGCGGCTAATGCTGCTGCTCTTTCTTGCTAGCTTCATTGCTACGTCTACCGTGAGGAGGAGGTCACGTACGACGCTCCTCTGCCTTCCACCTTACCTACTCACCTATTTACTCACCTATTCTGGTCTCCTACTGTCACACCACCTCTTTCACCCACCCATCTTTGTTTCGAGTATTCCTTTCTCTCGTGCGTCGTCGGCCGCCGATTGAAACTCGCGTCGTTAGTGTGCATGGTGCTGCTGAAAACTACGTCGACTTTGACTTGTGGGTGATTCTCCAATGACCTTATGCAACTCCCTTCATAACTTTGAAACCTGCCCAAACTGTACTTGCTTCGAACCATTTTGTACAGTCTGAAAGTCCACAAATATTGTGAAATCATTAAAAAAATTGAAACAAAATCGCTGCTGTGAAAGGGAAATTTGGAACTTCGTAATTTCATTGGAAATTACCTTATTTGACTTTCTAATGTGTGTTGAAAACCTGTGATTCTCAATTAGGATTCTCGTAAACTTGTATTTCCAGGTCACCTGTTCGTATTATGTTTGAACTCAATCTGTATTAATCGTGTGTAAAGTTCGTATATTCTATACGCTCTTCTCTTGCTCTCTGTATTGTTCGAATATTCTACAAAGCTCATGACAATTGCCCAGCGTGTGTTACTTGACTGGATTACGTGTGTTACTTGACCCAAGTGCCATTACCATTGGAAGTATGAAGATACTTTCTCTACACAAATTACGAATTTGAATTATTCAGTATTCATTGGAAAAGTGAATTTGTGGCCATATACAACGAGGCAGACGTTGAAATAAATTTCATTGCCCAAATCGCAAGGTTTTTGTAATTTTTCAAAGGAAAATCCTTGCATTTTCTCTAAGTGGGTAAAAGTTCGAAGTGGACTCCGGATGAAAGATTTTTTCGTGGGTTACGTCGTTGCTTGCATCACGAACAAAGAACTGCAGTTTTAGTACAGGTCTCAAATTTTGTGAAGTTAAACTATTCGAAACTGGAGAAAAACGAACGTTTAGAAACTATTCGAAACTGGAAAAAACGAACGTTTAAGTTAAAGTTGCTAATTCCAGCAAAAGCTATCGATAGTTTCGTCGAGTGCGTGGTCTGAAAGTGTCGGATTTGCAACGTAAATTTATTCGGATTTTCACTATCACAAACGAAATTAGGTTGGTGCTACACGTAGGTAAGTTTAGTGACCTTGTGCCTGTTATTGTTAGTTTGCTAAAGAAGTAACGAAGAAGTGTGTGTACTTATTAGTGCAAAAAGAGTGCGCGGTTATAGGTTAAATCAACCTATGTTGACACATCGATGTTATTTAACCCTTCCCACGAATTGTTGTATTCATACAATGAAAATGAAAACTCAGATTCTGCAATTAGAACGTAAAAATGAATGTTTGAATCACTGTAAAATTTTACGTTAATTTCATGCGTGCAATTTGCATTTTTGTTCCTACGAATTTTGATGTCACGACGAGCCTTTTGACTTCTGAACTCCAGCCAAATTTTGGGCACCTGGGAACTGAACTGAAACTTTACGAAGATTTTTTTCTGATCTCTGTGAGATTTCAAAAAATGTATTGAAAAATTATAGCTAAGAAGAATAATATCTTATGAATTTGAACATTTGAACGTGTTCTACGTGTATTTTTTATCGCCTAAATTAAACATTGCTCATTGTGGAATAAACTAAAATTTACGAGAACGTTGAACTCGTTGAACGCATGAAGAACATCGATGCTAGTCCGTAAAGTGAGTTGAAAACGCTTGAAGAATATCGAAGTGAGTTGAACACCAATGAAGAACATCGATGTGAGTTTAAACAGTGAGTTGAAGTTGAAGTTAGAGCTCAATGCTGTGTCATGGCTGGAGCAGGCACCCTGTACGCGCCCTCAAGTTACTCGGACTCACTCAGGTTCTGGAACTTCGCTGGAGTTCTCAACTTGCTGTGTGAGTACCCATACATTTATTCATGTGTAGTACCTATACATTTATACATGTGTAGTACCTATACCTTTATACATGTGTAGTACCTATACATTTATACATGTGTAGTACCTATACCTTTATACATGTGTAGTACCTCTACCTTTATACATGTGTAGTACCTCTACCTTTATACATGTGTAGTACCTCTATCTTTATACATGTGTAGTACCTCTACCTTTATACATGTGTAGTACCTATACCTTTATACATGTGAAGTACCTATACCTTTATACATGTGTAGTACCTATACCTTTTTTCATGTGTAGCGTGCGAGTACCTATACCTTTATACATGTGTAGTACCTATACATTTTTACATCTGCTACCTTTATACATGTGTAGTACCTATACATTTTTACATCTGCAGCGATAATGAGTTATTCATAGGTATACTGAATTATTATTGCTTTTGTTGCTGGAATTATTCACCCCCAGCTATAAGAATGACTCATTCCCCAGTTCCAGGAATCAACTTTCCCTCAGTTCCAGGAATCACCTTTCCCTCAGTTCCAGGAATCACCTTTCCCTCAGTTCCAGGAATCACCTTTCCCTCAGTTTCATCATGCAGGGTTTTATCATCATGCAGGGTTTTATCATCATGCAGGGTTTTATCATCATGCAGAGTTTTATGATCATTATATCGTGCCGGGTTTATCATTATTACATCATGCCAGCTTTTATCGCTATACCATACCGGGTTTTTACATCAGTCTATCATGCAGGGCTTTATCATTATTCAATCATGCAGGGCTTAATCATCAATATATATCATGCCGGGTTTTTATCATCATTCCATCACGCTGTTAATTAGTATTCTTATCAGTCAGGTTTTCCATACATCGTATGTATTTCCCCACGTTGCTGTTCTCGTATTCTTAATTTGGAATTTCACAATTTATTTTTGCAGATTTTATTTTCCCTAAGAATCCGCCCGGAATTTTTTTTCATACATGAATTTTTCTGGTCAAGTTCCACATTATATTAATTCCCGCAATTACACTCGCCAATTTACACAATTAACACACACACTTGCCAATTTTGTGTGTGCCACAATAACCTGCTTTTTCTACCAGTTTTGCTAGCCTAATCCAACTAAATGTAGGTATTTCTCGTATTTTTGAAAACATTAATGAAGCAATGCCATTATTTTCCAACTTTTTGATCATTTTGAAATACCTATTAAAATATGCCTAACAAATAACAATATTTAAATTTTACAATAAAATGAAAAAAATGGAAAAGGCGAATAGTGAAAATTAGTTAAAATATCCGTCTACCATTAAATTTTATTTGTTAAGCTGGTATTATGCTTGGTTATTGTGACCAACGTTTGAAGAAATGGATCGGCTTGGAAAGTTGCGCTTGCTTTGAAAAAATTTGATCGTGTAAACCGAAAGTTTACCGTAAAAATCGTAGCCTTTTAAATAATTAGCGATTGAACTATTGACGACTGAAAATAGTTTACAGTTTTATAATCAGATATATTTAAACATGATGATATCCCTGAATTATTGTTTACTATGAAAAGTTAAGCCGTTTACAAGGTAATAATGTAACGCTATAATGAGAGAATGGTCATAAATTCTTCCACATTACGAATAGAAATTATAGTTCATGAAAATATTTCTCATTTCAAACTTATTCTCTGTAGAAGAGAACGGCTGAAGTGCTCTGGTTGCGTCTAATGCCACCCATTCACCTTTTTGAACGACACTCAATAAAACAATCTTCCGTCGTCAAGCTTCCAATATTTCCTATTTATATGCTCAAAAAGAGAAAAAAACTCCACTTCAATGTTCATTCTTGTACGTATTTGATTAAACTCCCACGTAGACGGAAGTACTATCATAAATTGGAAGAGAATAACAAGCAAGAATTCTCATGCGTCAGCAATTCTGCGCTCTGACGCCAGGCTGAGACGCACGTCAAAAAATCTACGGACACCGCGCGACTGTTTTTAACACCTCAAAAAATTTCACACCTGTTCAGAATTTTGCTAATTAGTTCGATAGTTTCTATAAATTTAGATAATTTGTGCACTAGATTTGGTGGTTAATTTTGGGAGTTAAATTATTTAATTAGGAGATGATTAATTATTAATTTATTAATTTACAATTTATTGCAATAATTAATTTATATTCTGTATTTATAATGTAGGAGCTGTAGTTTGAACATAATATGTGATGCGATGTATAACGTCGCCTATGGGAACTAATCTTACCGCAACGACATGCAACATTGCTAGGCGTGTTGGTGTAGCGTGTGTAGTTAGGAGTATTATTTTGCGTGGATATATAGATTGTGTAAATCTTCTGTGTGCGTGTAGCTAGGGTTTGCGTATAGCTTGTGTGCGTGTTGCTAAAGTTGGCTTATAGCTTGTGTGTGCGTGTAGCTAGAGTGTGTGTATAGCTTGTGTGTGCGTGTAGCTAGAGTGTGTGTATAGCTTGTGTGTGCGTGTAGCTAGAGTGTGTGTATAGCTTGATGTGTGCGTGTAGCTAGAGAGTGTGTATAGCTTATGTGTGCGTGTAGCTAGAGTGTGTGTATAGCATATGTGTGCGTGTAGCTAGAGTGTGTGCATAGCTTGTGTGTGCGTGTAGCTAGAGTGTGTGTATAGCTTATGTGTGCGTGTAGCTAGAGTGTGTGCATAGCTTGTGTGTGCGTGTAGCTAGAGTGTGTGTATAGCTTTTCACCCCTCCATACACACCCCCACCCCCCATACACAGGAGTATCCGTTTACAACCCCTCCTTGACGCATCCCTCACATACCTCATGTACAACCCTCACATACCTCATATACATCCCTCACATACCTCATATACATCCCTCACATACCTCATACCTCCTCGCAGACAATCACTCCTCACTCTATACCCAATATATTTTATTATATAATATAAATAGTTGTACTCTTATAGACTATAATTTCCGGTCTCGATTATGCAATACACTTTGTAACTTCTATTGAACCCCCTGTTAATTTTCGACTAACAATCATTATAAATATATTACATATGTACATCAATCGAATAATTATATCAATTTTTTAGTTATAATCAAACCTAAAATTTTGTTGAATTTATCTATTTGCTTTATTTTCATCTACGCTAATAAAGATACAAACCTGTTGAAATACGGTGACGATATCGGTGTTTTTTTTATTGATTCGGTTAGGAATTTTTTTTATTTTTTTTTGCCTGATGAAACTCCTGTGGAATCATGGAAAAAAATTTCGAAAAAACGCTTTTAAACCGCGAATTATGTATGAATTTACTTTTCTGTATGAAATATATAAATATAACCTATGAACATTAATTGGAGACCTAATTTAAATTAGGATCACAGGAGGATTTAGGATTACCGTATGATTTACGGTAATTGTAGAACTTACGATCATATAGTGCTATACATACCATACATATTATACAACAGCTGTTCTTTAATACGTATAAGTTTCATTGAAGACCAGATTGTACCGTATAAATCACAGTCAAGGTAATGGATTGCTTTTGCAGGAGATAATTATTTATTCCGATATTTAAATACTAATTGTTGTAATAAATAATCGTAACGAAGAATTTTTGTACTGAGATACTTTATGTTTAACTAATAACGGCGGATATTAACTTGAACATTAGTGTATCTTATTGACGATTTTTGTGGGATTGGAAATTTCAGATATAAGGTTTCCGAGAGAAATTTCATTCGAATTTACGACGTTTCGAATATGCATTATTCAGTAATTCATTATCAAGTATGTGAAGACTTATTGAATACAACGCTTAAACTTAGAAGTTCGAAATAGAAAAAAGTAACTTAAGATAAGGTTCAAAATCGAAACTTAAATTACTCCGGGAAAAATTTATAAGTATAAATATATATAAAAAGTAAGTAATACTATACGTACATAGTGCATGAAAAGTACGTACGGTACTTAATTATGGACAAATGCATGAATTGTGGGCATTTGTTTCAGCTCATTTGAGTGACATACTCACAACCATGCAGATGATTGTATGCCTTACGATGGCTTCAATATATATAATAATATATTATTTGATATTATATTATATTATATTTTGTTATATTATATTATATTATATTTTATCGTATATCATGTGACGTAACGTGTGGCAGGTGTTGCAGTGGCAGGTGTTGCTCTGGCAGGTGTTGCAGTGACAGGTGTTGCTCTGGCAGGTGTATCATCTAGGCCCGTCATCACTCATGGCGCCATCATCTGGGCCCGTCATCACTCATGGCCCCATCATCTGGGCCCGTCATCACTCATGGCGCCATCATCTGGGCCCGTCATCACTCATGGCGCCATCATCTGGGCCCGTCATCACTCATGGCGCCATCATCTGGGCCCGTCATCACTCATGGCGCCATCATCTGGGCCCGTCATCACTCATGGC